TAGCTGCCTCGAAAAAATATTTTTCTACAGTACAAGCGTCATTTTACAACCAGAAAAAGAATCCATCGAATTATCTTTAACACTTTGCTAGAAAAAAATTGTCAAACGTGGCCAATTTTTGGGGAGCTCCTTGTCCTAGGTCAATCCACCTGCTGACATGTTTCTCCAGTGTTCCACTTCAAGTAGCAACATTATCGTCGAATGATAATTACTACACTGATTAAACGATCGTACAGATCATTTATGGAAGAATGATAGGCTCGGTGATGTTGGTGGTAGTCAATGACACCGGCGCGGCAGGATCGAGCAATTTAAACGTAGCCGGGACGCACGTGCGTGGAAGAGGCCGTGAAGCTGCTAATAGTCGCCTAAATGGTCGACACGCTTGCTCTGGCTGTCGCTATATGTCACCTCCGCCCTCTATTTACATGCTACGGACGATGCACGTGCGTGTGAATTTCGACGCGACGGGAACGTAGGAATTCCCCGGCTGTCTTCGACTGCCTGCCACGCTACCTCCATTCAGGCTACCCTAAAAATGCAACCGGATGAACTTTCCAGAAGCTCGTCAAGCCATTACCATCATCTGAATCAACCGATCATCGTCAGGAGCAATTACTGTAACCTGGACCAGCAAGTGACCACCTAGAAGCCTCGTTTAAATTGAAACAAAAATGCACCAACGTAGGATAGCGTCATTTGTCAGGCTAAGCTGAGACACTGGAGTCTCTGAATCAACGAATCATCGTCAGAATGAATTATTGTTCACATGGACGAGTAATTGAATACCTGGAAGCTTCGTTTGAAACGAGAAGAGAATTCAAACGCAAGGTTAGACCGCTCTGACAATCGAATTGAAATGAAAATTCCAACGCAAAGTTGGAGCAGAAAATTTTGCAAAGAAAGGAGACTTCCGTTGTCACTGTACAATTTGTCAAGGCAACCTAAGCCGAGCTATCCAGTCTATTTTCGCAGCAAGCTTGTTCACTCGTTAAACCAAGAAGATTATCGTCTCTGTAATTGTCAGTGTGTCTCAATGGGGAACAATAACTCGATGGTGGTCGCGTCCCTTGGTGAAATACTGCGGCCACATCTCTGTAAAACGAGCCACGTGAATGAGGGGATCCACCGATGATTAACGCCTGTGTTTGCTTATCGAGGCTGTTTGCGTTGAAACTGAACAGTGGCTGACGTTTATGTGTTTAAGATTCAGCTATTGTGCGCTTTCTCTCCGCCCTATAGACAGATTAGTTGTAGCTTCCCTATGGAGACACCATGCTTCCTTACAGAGGTGGATCCCTCTCTTTTTCTTACAGCAAATGCTTCGCTCACCTGTGACTGTCCACCAATGGGGAAACGAGGAGTTCTCACTGCTTGCTCGAAGGGAGAGCCAGGTGGTTTCTACCAGTCTGCAGCGACCAATGGGAGAGTCTGGATGGGACAGGTAGATCCTCCCCATAATTACACAGACACAGAATGGAGAAGTTGTAGAAGAAGATATCAGACATTTGTGCAATTTTCTTTCGAAAATTTCGAAAAAGTTCCAAAAACAAATGGTACATTTTCGAAGAAGATTCGGAAACGCAGCTCCTCTGCGGAACATTCAGCGAGAAGATGAGGATAGAGAACTAATGAGGGTCGAGGAGTCAGCAGCAGAGTGGGAAGGATTTCCATTCCATTCACATTGCCAGTCGTGCATGCTCCTTTCCATCGAGCCACGGCAAGATTTATTTTGAGTCGTAGGCGCAGAGAAGGGACGTGGTGTGGCGCAGAGGCGATCGATTTCCAGACGAAAAATAAAGTGCACGTGCTATTCCTGCGCTGATGCACGTACGGTGTTGACTGGCCTCCTCTTCTCTTTTTACCAGCAGGAGGAAGGAAGGAAGGAGCGAAGGGAGAATATTAAAGCTCGTGTGTTTGGAAAACATCCTTCGTCCACTGCAAACATCCACCATCGGCTTGGCCATTGGCTATTCTCTTCCCTAGGCCAGAATCGCAGGAAGTGAATTTTTCTCACTTTTCTTCTGCTTCTGGATATTGGCGTTCGATAATAGAACTGCTTGTAGAAGTGAATAATAAATGTTTCCATTGCTTCTGGTTAATTATAGCACTAGGTCTGCGATTGGTTACAGGAGAGGTTCAGTGGACAATTTGTATTGGGATAAAGCTACAGGCTATTGGAAAAATTTGACACCTGAAAGTTGAAGAACAGTTAATTTGGTAGTACATGGAGTAAAACAAATCAGACACGATAAATAATAGAGATTTTATTATCGACATTCCATCTAATTAGAAGCTACCACATCTGTCTAGAGTCCTTGGAACAATTCACAGTTAGCCGACCAAAAAGCTACTTACGCTTACAGATATGTACACCGACGAAGTATTTTCTGTTTTATGTTTTTGTTTGTGTTACGTGTTACCTACAGATACACATTAATTCCTTTTACTTCTACATAGACCTATCTATCTATCTATCTATCTATATATATATATAAAAGAAAAGCGCGTTTTTTGGGGTGCCTCATCTTGTCTCACGTGATGCGTCTTAACCTACGTTAATTAACCCTGTATTATCGCCTGGTGAATTGATCCCGCTGAAAAGAGCAATTCACGAAGCTCGAAACAGTCCCTTATCTCGCTTATAATATCGAATACTGTATAGCAGTCGAAAACACACGAGGAGGACAGGGGTGAAGTGTCTATTATTCTCGAGTGGACCAAGCCTCTAGGTGTTCTCCAATGCCGTTACGAGGGCCAGAGTGCTGAAAAATTCACTCCAAGGGCTGTTCTCTGCTAGTCATCTCGTCCAGACGAGGATCAGCCAGGTGATGGCCACCAAGGTGACCACTGTTGGCTATTGCAAACGTTGTGGACGTCGCACAGATTCACATGAAGCACTTGGACCGCGACTGGAACTCCATGGGGGCGAAACCTGTGGTGGAGACACCTGTTGGTGTGCTGGAACCCATCATTCCTGAGGGAACTCCCACTCCAGTCACGCTGGTGCTTGACACTGCCACGCTTCCTGGCTCCTCCTTCACGTTCACCACTGTAAAACAAGCGAAACGAACGATAAAATTGCCGTAGACGTTTGTCTCGTTGATTCACGATAAATATATTACTTTCTGGCCAATAACACCTGGCAGGCATGGTTTCCGGTGTCATTGCTGTCTCGTGCCTCCTGGCAAAGCTGCTGCCGAAAGATCCGCTACCCATGGAGCCTGGTGAACTGGCCGTTCCACCTGGAACATCCAAGTAATTGCCTTGAAACGCTTTGCCTGGTCGTCCAGCATATCTCAGGCTTCAACACCCCCAAGAGAATTAATTAATCTAGAAACTCACTTAGCGAAGAGCCCAATTGACTGTAGCCGTTCATGGTGGGGATCTGCATCGATTGCATGGGCTGCAACTGTGGCTGGAGCTGCAACAGAGGAAATAGAGAATCTTCGATTAATTGCCCTAATGTCGCTGAATAATGGTAACTGTTGAAGGCAGACTTACCGATTGGCAATGGCTGTAGGATAGCTGGGACTGCTGGAGGCTCCAAGCACTGTAACGGAAGACAAATAAAAATTAATTGATAACAACGATAATAACGTTTTAATTAAATATTGTACAGGTATCGAGACAAAGCTCAGCTGTAGCAAAAGTGAGATGCGAAATGAATAATCAACGCTGAGGGCAAAGACTACAAATTTGGATGAAATCTTTTCTCTAATTTGTGGTCCTCGCCCTCAGCGTTGATTCTTCATTTCACATCTCACTTTTGCTATAGACTTAGTCTTAATATACCTGGTGTCGTATCTGGTATAGGTGGACGGAGCGTAAGATGGCGGAGAGTGGCCAAAGAGGTTTCTAGGGCCCAGATGCACATGTGTGGTTGAGAAAGGATCTCCAAACAGCGGCTTATGGTAGGGAGCATTCCTGTAGGGTCTCTTCATGCGTCTACGCCTCCTGTAGTTACCGTTCTCGAACATGTCCGCGTACTGAGGGTCTACAATTCAAACAGCATACCTTTTGTCATTCTTTCTAAAAATATTTCAACGAATTTCAGCATTCCGTTTGAGCAGAATTTCACTTACCAAGGGTCCAGAAGTTGCCTTTCCTCTCTCCACCACCCTCGCGAGGCACCTTAACGAAACACTCGTTCAAGGACAGGTTGTGCCTGATGGAATTCTGCCAGCCTTTCTTGTTCTTCTGGAAATAGGGAAACCTGGCCGTGATGTAGGCGTAAATCTCGCTCAGGGTCGCCCTCTTTTGAGCACTGTGCTGAATGGCCATGGCTATCAGAGCCACGTAGCTGAACGGCGGCTTCTTGCTGGCTGAATCGTTGTTGCTGCCGCTTCCGTTTCCATTTCCGGACGCGGTGGTCGAACCGTCCGTTGCTGTGGTGGGCGTAGAAGGTGCGGATGGTGTCGAAGGATTGCTGTTGGTGGTGCTGTGAAGCGCTCCTGTTGGGGAGGAGCCCTTTTCGTCGAGATGATGATGAGTGGAGCCTGTCGAGTGCATAGACACCGTGGAATTCGGGCTGTGCAGACTGTGATGGGAATGATGGTGAGCCAGAGAGGCATGGTGGGAGGATAGGCCCCTGACGAGGCTCACAGAGGTGTCCAGATCCTTCGACGTGGCCACCATGCAGCCATTCTGCATATCTGACACGTAGCTGGTCACTGGAAGCAAGTAAAAGGGATCGTTGAGTACCGGTAGTCGTGTAAGTAAGCTGTAGAGGGACTTTGGAAGATGTTGGACGAACTGGAGCTTTCTTGTGGAAGCTAGCGATGCTCCTGAAGCGTCGGTAATTGGCACCTGAAGTTTTAGTTAGCTCGTTGAAGCTCGCGGTTGAGTAAATCGTCTCTAGAGAGACTTCGAGAGATATTGTAGTCTTCGTGAATAAACTAGACCTATTTTAGAGGAGTGAATGATCGCTATAAGTATTAGAAACTGGATTTCTCGAATATAATTGTGTACTGTTAGCGATCTTTAACCCTTTGAAGACGATAGGCTCGTATATACGTTTGCAAAACACTACGAACGCAACCAATGAACTTATATATTTTTAAGCAATAGAAACAGTTGGAGTGACCATGAACTCGTGCGCTATATTTGAGGAAAATGTAATTTTCAATTAATTAACCCTTTCGCGACTAGCGCCGGTTATATCCGGCATCCACTAAATGCTTC